TTGGATTCGGTGGGTCGGTGAAGACTGGCCACCTATGACGACACGGATGTGGTGGTCTGTCAGGTAACTCCGGAGCCAGGCAAGGAGGGGGCCACTTATGCCGCACCGCGCAGACTTGTGGAGGACGCCGTTGTGCGAGACCTTGTCGAAGGCCCCGGCAATATCTACTGCGAGTACCCTGACGAGGCCTCCACTGGCAGCTGCAAGGCTCCACTCATGCTGAAGAGCAATCAGCAGATCAGAGGTTCCCAGTCCAATGCGAAAGCCAAACTGCCTGTGAGAAAGGATGTCATTCTTCTTCAGGAAGTTGGACAGGCTGCGGTGCACGATGGACTCCATACACTTAGACATTATGGGCAGTAGTGATATCGGTCAGTAGTTTCTGGGTTTCGACTTGGGGCTTTTCTTGTGTACCGGTACGACGTTGGCAACTTTCCACATGGCAGGTTGATGACCACTGCAGAAGCACAGGGTAAGCAGGTTGGATAGGGGCAGGGCCAGGGAGCCGGCACATTTTCTCAACACTCTAGTGGGTACTGCATCAGGTCCTGTGGCTTTACGTGGATTCAGGGCTCGGAGTGTCCGGCGTACGGTGGCTTGGCGGAAGTGGACTGTTGCAAGCATATTTGCGGTGCGCTGGCGGACATGCGGGAACGGCCTCAACTGTTTTGCAAAGTCATCGTCTAGGCTGCACTTCTGGGCAAAGTACTTCCCGATGACGTTAGCCTTGTCGTGGCTTTTGTGCATTCCATGGCATCAGGGTCAACCAGGACTGGGATGGAGCTGTCCCGGCCATGCCCTCCAACTCGTTTAATCACACTCCACCACTCTCTGTCCTGCAGGCTGCCCGTCCGGAGCCGTTGCTTGACATGGTCGAGATGTCTGGCTTTGGCTCTTGGTAGACATCTTGTTGAGCCAAGGCATGCTAGCTTGAATGTACACTGGAACGCCCCATTTCTGGTGTCATCGCGGAATTTCCACCAGGCATTGCGCTTTCTGTCAACTGCTGCAGAGCAAACTGGCGTCCACCAGATTGGGTCCTGCGGTCTGGTCCTGAAGACCTTGGATGGTATAGAGCGTTGCATTCTCTCAGTGATTCGCATGGTCAGAAGCTCACATGATATGTTAGGGTCGTCGCCGATTATTGTGTCCCAGTCAGTAGTCCGAAGGAAGGCAGAGAGGCAGGGCCAGTCTGCCCGCTGGTATCGCCATACTGTACGAGTGGTGGGTTGGTCTACAGATGCAGTAAGCTGGAAGTCGGCTATGACAACAACATGGTCTGATCTGCCAAGAGGTGGTTGGGTGGTGGTAGACACAGTTCCAGGCACATCTGACATGACGAGGTCAAGGATGTTTTCTCCACGAGTGGCTGAGGTGACGTGTTATCGGAGTCCATGTACACAGCACATGTCTTCTGCAGCTTCTCCAGCAGCCGAGGTGCGTGGACTTCCGAGCCATTCCCGGTTGTGGGCATTGAAGTACCCTGCCACAATAATGTGTGAGCAGGACTGCCGGGCTTTGTCGATGTCAGATTCCAGCTGGGTGAAGATACTGCAGTCGCTGTCTGCACTCGTCCCAGGTCTGTAGGCAGCACAGATGCCAAATTTCATGCCTGGCGGTGCAGCAACACTAATCCAAAGAGTTTCACACTCAGAGTTGATGTCCAGTTGTTTGTACGCCATCCCTTCTTTCAGCCAAATGGCGAATCGGCCGCCTTGCGCTGTCCGGTGTCGACGTATTGGGGGTAATAGCCAGGGATTGAGAATTCCGCAACTGTAGCCTTGTCGGGTGATAGTTTGGTCTCGGTGACGACAGCGATGTCTAAAAAAAATTCCTCACGGAGGCCAGGGAGCGGCGTGGAGAGGTCGTCCACACGCTGATGGAGACGCGCCTCACGATCCCTCGACTCGCTGACATGAAAAGTCAGGGTCTGCAGCACGCTGAGCAGAGTCTGCTCTATACCCGGGAGGGAGCAGAGAAGTTTCATCGCAGGCTCTCCTGCGAGTTCGCCCATGGCAAAGAAGTTCTCCCTGACTGCTTTACCTACCTACACCCCTACACTACGCTACACTACTACACTATGCTACCCTACCCTGCACTACTGTCCTACTTCCAGACCGGCCTGTTGCCTGCTGGGCTGTCAAACACTATGGAGCTGTAAAAGTCACACTGTCCACAGTAAGTGCATTCGAAAAAAAAAAGAGAAAAAGTGGTGCAAGCGACTCCGAAGACGTAACTCCTTGTGAGAGTGAGGGTGCAGCCATGGCTGACCCTCATGAGTTCGGTCTGGGGCTGGGAACCTTGATATTCAGCTGAAGAAATGGCCGCGTGAGCCGGTCAAGAGTGAGCGCTACTGAGTTTCCGACTGATGAAGAAGCAGCAGCTATTGCAGACGAGGCTGATATAATTATCAGATAGCTGGATGGCAGAGTCGCCAAAATGGAGAAGAGTGATGCGAGTGATGCGAGTGCTCTAAATGTTGTTCCATACCGTTTCGCTTAGACTCCAGTAGCCTGCCACATGGTGATGTTTTGGTGCGAACTTGGCATGTTTCGGACTACTTAATTGGAGAACGGTGCAGGTTCTTTGAACCACGGGCACGACTCTTCGCTCGCAACGCTACGGGATCTGAAAGTTCTAGGTCCGGTAGCTGCTCGCTGTCTTGTCACTTGTCACGGTTGTGCACTCATCGCTGTAGCATATAATAATGAGCCGGGAGCGGAAAACAAAAAAAATTCTTTCTCAAAGCACAACCACCGGCACCGTACCGGCAAGGAGAAACGCTCATTCTCTGACTACACGACTGTACAATACGACTGTAGTACATTACAAGTCCGTCTGTTGGCTACTAGTAAAGTCATGTAGTTTTCTGAGTCTTGTGACTCGAGTCATGTTGTACCCACCCCAGCACGGCAGTGCGGGACGTAGTTCCGTGTGTGATGAGTTTGCTGACTACACTACAGCTAGAATGCACACAGCGCATTGCTAGAGCCATAGAGGCCAGTGCATCCCGACGGAAAAAGTCCAACTCCGAAACGGCTAAAATATGGCATAACCTCGAGGTTTACCGAGCTGAAAATCACAGGGTACGTAGTGTTTGTAACACTGAATCGAATGGTCTTGGTCCGAAGAAGCTGCAACAAACGGTTTCCCAATCGAACGGGGTCCGAATATGGCCAGTTTGTCCACATCTAGATGGTGTGGCTCCCTGGCTGCACGCTGTGACGTCATCACCTGGATTTGGGTGAGGCGCTGAAATTCGCACACGTTCGATTGCCCGTATCTGACGAACCATAGGACGCAGCCTCCTCGGATAAAGACCATACGACTCAGCGCCCTGAACTCTACGGACTGTTAAATTTAAATTTTTCAGCGGACTTCCTCTTTAAACGAATTCCCCAACACTTGGAAAAGCATGACTGATTCCGACGTGATAGAACGACTCAAAATCAGGTATCATTGCCTGCTCCTGGTTTACCCAAGGTTTATCGACTTTGCCTCTCCCTTTCCTATAGTATTCGACGTGCGGAGACACTTTCCGCTTTCAACAAAGCTCTTCGCAAGTAATGCTTCTTTTTTCCTTTTTTTCTTCTTCTCTTTACCGCATTTTTTTGCCCTCGGTGGTTTCACCCTCACTTCCTTGTATTGGCTATTTTCATTATGCGCCATGAAGTGCAGACAGTAAATAAAATATAGAAATACCTCTGTTCACGGTTCCTCGCTGATAGTTAGGGACTATTTGAGGCCATCCTGTTACTGCTCTCATGGGCAGTTTTCATCTTCCCTTTTCTTATATAAAATCGGAAAATCATGGAATTGCCTTCCACCTAAGATAACCGCTATAGATTCTGTTTCAGAATTTCGGACACAATTTCGTGCTCATTATAAACAGCATATATTTGCCTGCACAAGTCGCTTCACTAGTATAAATATAAAGGAAGGATCATTTTCACTGTTAGGAGGTCCCCCGATAGGCTTTGCCTTTGGGAAATCCTTTAAATAATACAATGCAAATACTGCTATTCCTACTCTACCTGTTCCCCGCAAAATTAGTGCAATTATAGGGATCATGGATCATTGAGCTTCGAAACGTCAGCAAACCAACTCGGTAGAATGCTAGTGGAACACGGCGCCATTTATAATTACCTTTTTACACTCATCAACTGTCCAAGTGAATCTGCTATTTTAGGTTTTTAGAACCTTCACACAGTTTCCGAATTTTACACCGATTTCTGCGAACTTCTATTAAGACCTATTCTCCGGACCTGAACACAGTTTTCATTGATCTAAAAGAAACAAAATGGCGGGGGGGGGGGAGGGGATTTGTGCCGCGAGATGGAATGTTCCCGAGGTGCAGTCAAAATCCTCCAAAAAAACTTTTCATCGCAACATTCTAAAACATCATTCTGAAAAGTTCCCTGCGTGCTGGAGCAGTCCACGAAAAACGAGCGAGCGGTCTGAAAAGATCTTACAGCTCTAATTTTCGGTTTCTCTCTCTCAAACCATTGATTAGTAGTAGGGCTCAAACAGTCACGGTTTTTCCCCTACCGTTTAACTGCTACGCTAACGGTTGGTTCAACAGTTATAACTTATAACCTTTAAACCACGGCAATCCTGCGGACTCTTTTTTAGTCGTGTATTTGACTATACTCATTCAAAAAATGTACCCTATTCAGTACAACGCACACTTGTTCATTCTCTTGCATGCTCATTCATACATACTCTCACACCAAGAGACCAGATATAACGGAGTTGACAGCCCAGAAATTGCGTACGCGTGCGACAGCCTGCGAAAGTGCATACTTTGCGACGACCTGATACTTGAAAAATCGAGTGGAAAGTTACTGCGTAACCGTTATCTTTATCTGTTTACTGTTAATTCTTCGTAACCGGTCTGCAACCGGTTAATCAGACTTACCGTTTGAGCTCTAATTAGTTGTACATGTACTTCTAAGCAAAATTATAAAACGGAGGACGTGAACCAGTCGCACATCACTTACCATTTGAAAATTGGTCTGTGTTGTTAGGATCTGAATATGAGACAGAAACAGAAAAAAGATGAAATATGTGGCCTTGAGTGTATACATGTACAGTAGACTCGTACGCCCAAGAACGCGGTTTCAGAGGGCCAGCCTAGCAAAGTTCTTATTTTTCAACGCCCCAGGCTACGTTCTTATTTCGCGTTCTTACACGTCCAACTTTACCCGTGACCCTCATGTACAACTCACTTTTGCTTTGTTTAAATTTGGCCTTGGGACTTGGTGCTGGCGCCAAAACGAGCACCAAGCGCCGGTTTTCGAATATGCGAGCCACCAGGAGCACTTTATTTCGAAAATGAGCAATAAATGAGCGCTACATTTTGGACAGTCGACGTATAGACAAAAGTCGTAAATCAGGAAAAATTCGTGCAGAATGTGCAGTCAGTAGTAGAAGTATACTAGGAACAGCCAGAAAGGGACGGAGAGTTTAATTTTTCCTCCCCAGCAGTTTGAAACCAATGTACCGTATTTCTTTGAACAGTGAACACCCCTCGTCCATTCTTCACCAGCCGCCCTTGGATAAGCGCTGTCAATTCGTGGACTGGGGGTTATTTATACACAAGTGCAGGGAAGTTCACAATTTATCCACAATCACAGCCACCAAACTAGATGTTATGCTCCTTCACATGCAGCTAGTGCTGCTGTCACTCCGGACAAAGCACATTTTATTTTTGTATTTATTTTTTAAACTACTGTAAATTATACAAATTTTATAATCGGCACCGACCCAAAACACCAAAATTAAAACGCCGATGAAATTTTTCACAGCATCTGTCGCGCTATACCATGCCCTCCACCCCACGCCGAAAATACATCGCCGCCGAAATGTCAAAAATCGTGAAGTGCCGAAATTTTGCATCGCCAAAATTTTGTATATTTACAGTATGTGCACATCCCGACAAAGTTGTAGGGGTAAGACCAGAGACAAAGACAACATAGGATTAGTAGGTGCTACAAGAGCTGTGCTGGTCAGGCGCAGTCCAGATGATCTACAGAAGGGAACAAATGGTAACCGCCAGCATGATTACTGTAATGGGTAGCCGAGTGGTAGGCGCGGTGCAATTAACAAGAATTAGTTTTATTCTATTTCTCTCAGGTACACACCTGAGATATAATTATTAGTGAAAGAAGAAGCGGCAAATAAATGAGTTTCTCTCCGGTGCACACCTGGAGGTTGAATAGCTCGTTATTATCAAAATCTCCTCTAAACAGAAATGCGCAGCAGCTTTAATGCAGCAGACGCGGTACGCTTACATACGGAGATACACTAAATATACATCAGGCAAAGCTCCGTATTAGTTCCGTACTACTTCCGTATTGGTCGGGCAGGGATACTACAATTACCTCTCAGAACATTACGAAGAGCGAGTTATTTTATCGACAAAAAAGGACAATAAAAAAGGAAATAATCGTGTCCGTTCTCGAAGGGAACTCACGATGGCGGCTAACACCCTGTAAACCCTAACGGCACATGCAGCGCCTAATTGTGGGGGACAATAGCACGTGAACAAGGCACAAGTAAACGAATGAAACTTAAGACGCACTAAGGAGTGTCAAATCTACAAAACAAAGAACTCAGACCGGAGAACTTGTCTAGGAGAAAGTGGACACTGGTGCTGTGACACTTTGGAACGAACGCAGAAAGAGAAATCATACCGCAGAGAACAAAACTTGCGACGTTCTTTTATATTATTGCATCCAAATATTTCAGCGTCGACGTCTTCTTGAAGCTCCTCCATGCCATTTGTTTTGCGGTTTCATCCATTGTGTCTTTCTCCCGTAAAAGAGGGTCTTCTGTTCACGCACAGAGCTACAGTTCTTTTAGCAACCTTGAAGATTGGTTATGATGATCTTGTTGATTTAAGTTGGCAACTCTCAACAAGACTGAAATACATGTAGTGTACTCTTGCTCAGACTTTAACCAGGGTGCCCGGCTTATGGCTAGCGATGCTCTGCTTCAACATTGTGGCGTACATAGGTCGTTCTCATTGCGCAGAGACGTTCTTTCGCCAGACTTCGCAACTCACGTCTCCTGTGCACATGCTCAGCTACCCATTGGCGGCTGAAATTCGAAAAATTGGCAGATTCTGCTCCTGAAGCAATAAAATGGGATTTTAGGCCGTTAACCCTTTGCATGCTGAGCCCCTTTTCTCCAATCCACTGGCTTTCCAGCGCACTGACTGTCTTGGTGGAGTATGCACTCACAGCTCCGAACGAAATTTATTCTCATTTCACTCCACCTTGATGGATTGTCATCGTCCTGGGCTAGTTGGAAAGATCAGGACCAAGCGAATCCATCCTGGCAGCTCTCAGCTCCATAGACACATCAGGGCCACTTCCACGTCCTCTCCAAACTACTCCACCGTGCCTCGGAACCGCACAACAACTCAATTTCACATTCTTGTTCGGGTTCTTGCCCAAATTCAACCGATGTTCACAATTCAAACTGCGCTGCAAAGCTAAGATCCAAGCGCTTCATTTGATGTCCATCACGCATGCGCCGTGCCAAAGGGAAATCCCCTGGCACACTCCTCAACAAAAAGAAGTCATGAACAAAAAAATTCGCCTTCACTCTGGGCCGTGATTTCCGTGTTCATCTTGTCGCCGCTCAATGAATTATTATTCTATCGTGAAGAACTTTATATTCGCGAAAGATGAGGTCAAGACCTTTCCAACGGTGTACTGATTGTCGCAATGCGTTAATGTTTGACGAAGTTACGGAAGTTTGTACACTGGTCTATGCATTTTATCTGGTGGGATGATCTCCTCCTCCCCCCCCCCCTCCCCCAATGCTTTAGGAGGTCTATTTTGCCTTTGATATTTGCACGGTGGTGGCGTTTCTACGGATGCTGAAAATCCTTTTAACCGAGTTCCCACCGAACCGCGTATTAAATACAAAACTTGCATGAAGCATGCGAAAAGAAGTAACAAATGTTTCCAGTTTTCAGACATTATCCTCTAAGGTGAAACCAGCGAGAGAAGAGCGCCACTCCGGACGCTTTGGGCATTCGCAGTGTGAAATAATATACGAAAAACGACTGCGGCAGCCCAGCCTGGAAGAAGGTGTTCTCGGTTTTGGCCCGCTGTCCTCGACCAATACTTAATTAAAGAAAGGATCACAATAACGTTACACGAAAGACTTGGCTAGACGCCGATTTTACCGCATCCTTTCGACCACCAGAACCCTTCAACGATCAAGGCACTAAGGTATGGAGTCTTATTTGATGTGTACTAGATTTGCATGTGTAGGCATACCACTTACTTCCGGAAGTCGTGCTGTATTTCCCAGTTGTTGGAAGTGCTGAAATAACATAATCGCAGGCATACACACATACTTTTGACACATGGCCACCAGCACATACTAATCTACATGATGCCTTCAATTGTATCAGAGTTGCTAGTTCATTAAAACCGTTGGTTTCTTGCTTCATACAGTGCAATCCAACACTGGCTCTCTGTTTTCAGCGCGACTAACACCTTTCGAACTCCAGACTGCGGTATAAGTATCGCTTGTGCAAATGCACACCGAACGCTGAGGACCATTGGTAAAACATGCGTTTGTTGTGCTTGAAACAAAGTGTCACTGTATGATTGCACAGGACTTTAGTATCCCTAGTGGTGTTTAACATTTCCCTTCACGGATGAGCTATGTATTAGCGAAACAACTGTCTGAAGGAGTTTATCCATATCGTCCTCGCAGTGGTGATGGTTGTGTGAAGGAGGGTCTAGTCGGCTAAAGAGCGCAGTGTAATGGTAGAGGTGACTGTAACAGTAAGCATACTAATTTACTAGCAGCTCCAGTCGACACAACACATCGAACTCACTCCTTCTGGACTAACCAAGAACTGAGGGGAAACCCTCGTCGTGGCCAGCTTCATATTTCAGAATAAATGCAGGGAGTCATATTCGACTCCCTGCTGTGTTCAGAGTACGGTGTGGGAGGTAGTGTAGAGAAATAGTTGTCCATTATGCATGAATAATAATAAGACTAATTCGGGGATCACCATACAGAGCCTGCAGAAGGAGTGGAAGTCATTATGTGATTGGAAGGCCAACGGGAATGGGGGAAGCAGTCTCTAAGACCATTCCCGTCACAGTGACTCTTTATTATCTTCAATTGCCGAGAGCTCTGTCACACTCTGTAATACTAGTGATATTTAGGCTAGAAAAACAATACTGACAGTTTAAACGGCAGTGCTCTGTGAGTACAAGTTTCACTAGCCTACTCAAGTTTAGCGGATGAGGGGCAGTTTCACTAGCCTACTCAAGTTCAACCGATGAGGGGTAGTTTCACTAGCCTACTCAAGTTCAACGTGTTAGGTACCTCCTCCCGTACCTTTTCTAGCTGGCCTGCATGCACATGCGTACTCACCTTTTGTCTCCTTTTGTTCCGTTGGCCTGGGTAGCTACTTGCGCGCCCATATTTGCCATAGCTACCCAGGCCCTTTATCTTGCCGTTCAGACTTGATCTCTTTTTCACTCTTCAATGTAGTCGTTTCGTTCGTTTTGGTCTCTTGTCTCGTCGCCTATAATAAATGGCCCAGAATCTGCGAAAACCAGGCTTAGGGTGAAATTTCACAAAATGACTTTTTCCCATTTTCAGCTTCTACTGGGCATGGGAGGTCAGGAGACAAAATATTACAGGTGTGGGTCGACTCATAGTGGTATTAAAAGTATCTCAAACACACCAGGGTATTGTGTTAAAAATCCAAAAAAAACACAAAATTGTTATCACAGGAAAGAAATGAAGAGAGATCCACCAGAGTGAAGGAAGAGACATGGATGATTTTTGCTTAGGTGACATGACAAGGTAGGCATATGGGGCCAGGCTTGTTGCGGCCCCTTGGTGCTGCAGGCTGTAGTGGCCATGCACAGTTCTGCATGAATTTTGTTTGCTCCTCAGAGTCCTCACTCAGCACATTCTGGGGCTGCATACATGTACTGGCATGCTCTGGCGCTACACACCACAAGGAAACCCGACTCCAGTTGAGATGGCACCTTTTGAAGGGTGAATCTAGTACAACTATTCAAAAACAAGCAAGAACACGGCCTTTCAAACTGTTCCACTGTTCGTAGTATGCGCATAGTGATAGTGTGCTGGCGTGCTGCAGTGCCTGCTTGGTGCTGACCAGCAAGTGAAATCTCGGCACGCCGTACAATCCCTTGAGCTAGCTGTCCAGCGAGGAAAGTCTCGAGTGGAGGCCTCTCGATCTGCTCGCTCGTTCGCCTGGCATTCAATAGCACTTCATCGCCAAGGACTTCAATTCAAAACAGTTTTCACACTGCACTTCTAGCCTTTTTCCTAGTGAACTTGCTGCAAACGTATGAGCTCTGCTGCGCGTGTCCCCTTTGCGTGAGGCCCAGAAACAGCTAGTATCTCCATACTTCGATTGGCTGGGTCGATGTCGTCCAGGTTCTTCTCGCTATCGCCATCACGACTCTAACTGGAGACGATTTCTTCACCATTTTCCGCAAGCAGCAGCTAGCGCAGAAATTTCGCCATCCCTGAGTGAAGGAGATGGAATCCGTTCGATCAGCTCAAAAACTCTTCGTTGGGACTAGAGGAGTACTAGTAGCAGATTCTACCGGAAGCCCTTTGACTTCCCTGACCGCTGAAACCCTTCCTGCCATGACCTGATGACTGCTACTTCTTCAAACAAGCGAGATTCTCTTTGGTTCCACTTCACTGCACTCGAGCGTCCACGCGACACAACCTTTTTACAAAACATCATTTTTCTCAAAAAAATGATTTTCACCCTAAGCCTGGTTTTCGCAGAAGTTGGGCCAAATGTCATTCCCCCAACCTACCTGTTCCCATTGTAATGTCTGGATAATGTGTCGTCAGTCGTCCTGTTTCGAACTCAACATTGGCGCCCGATTATTGAGCGATCCACGACCCTGAGATCATCCCATGCCCAGCCGTCCTCAACCGCCATTCGTCTCGTCTATGTCAACCTCATCTCGTCCATATCAGTCTCGTCTCTCCTACGCCAACCTCGTCTCGTCTCTATCAACCTCGTCTCTCCTACGCCAACTTCGTCTCGTCTATGTCAACCTCGTGTCGTTCAAGCCATGCAGGTCAGCTACCTTTCTCTCTTTCTCGTTTTGTATGCGTTCCTTCTTCGTCAAATGTATTTTCGTGAATTTTTTGTAGTGTGTGTGCGCGCGGGTGTCCTTCATTAATATTAGGGGTCAGATCATGGTGAGCCACGCTCTCTTATTTATGTCGTATATTAAAGTGTAACTAGGCTCTATTAGCCGTGCAAAATACTAGTCATCAGAATACAACTCAAGTCCCTCGTCGAACTCCAATAGTTAATTTTTGTGCCATGTTTTGAAGGGGCGTTTGGGCCCGTTTTTATTAGCAATGTACACACTATAGTATGAGTAGTACAGGAACGTTGACGGTTGTAATGATCTGTAGTGCATTTTTTAGTACACATTTTTGTGAGGCCCGTGCGTTGTGTGTGTGTGTGTTTTTCTCGTTCAGTAATTTTTTTAATCTTTTTCTTTCTTTTTTTCCTCTCCGCGAGGACTCGGGATTTTTTTCATGGAGAGGTGGTATGTTAGGTACCTCCTCCCGTACCTTTTTTAGCTGGCCTGCATGAACTTGCGTACTCACCTTTTGTCTCCTTTTGTTCCGTTGGCCTGTGTAGCTACTTGCGCGCCCATATTTGCCATAGCTCCCCAGGCCCTTTATCTTGCCGTTCAGACATGATCTCTTTTTCACTCTTCAATGTAGTCGTTTCGTTCGTCTTGGTCTCTTGTCTCATCGTCTATAATACATGTCGTTCCCCCAACCTATCTGTTCCCGTTGTAATGTCTGGATAATGTGTCGTCAGTCGCCCTGTTTTGAACTCAACAAACGGATGGGGGGTAGTTTCACTGGCCTACTCAAGTTCAACGGATGAGGGGTAGTTTCACTAGCCTACTCAAGTTCAACGGATGAGCGGATAGTGTCTTGAAACGTTATGCTTGGAGCAAGAAGTGGTGCTTTACTGCAAGTTTGCCAAGTAAAATGTCCCATGAACTTCTTGTGTGATCTAGATGGCAGTGGCAAGTCAGTCAAATGAGATTCAAGTAATAATGTCGTATATTTTGATATTTTGGCTGAACATTTCTCAGGAGAGATGGAGAATACTCAGCATCTTCTCCTAGTCTAGAGAAACCATTTCGTAGGCTACATTTCGCCTTGGGAAATCGTGACAGGGGTGGTGAGGTTTAAAGAGCTCCGCCGACCTAGAGTCTCGACTTCAAAGCCACCTAGACGCACCAAGAGTGGGTGAGGGAGGGAGAGCAAGAGAGAGAGTGGGAGAGAAAGCGAGCGTGCGAGCGAGAGAGAGAGAGAGAGAGAGAGAGAGAGAGAGAGAGAGAGAGAGAGAGAGAGAGAGAGAGAGAGAGAGGAGAGAGAGAGAGAGAGAGGGAGAGAGAGAGAGAGGGAGGGAGAGAGGGAGAGGGAGGGAGAGAGAGGTTGCGAAATTGTTAAAGTAAAATAAAGGGAGCATTGAAAATATGAGATGATTAGTGAGGTGACTGCAGCCTCAGCTATTTGGCAGGAGTGTGTGGTGAAAATATCACTCAGATCCATCAAGAGACACCAAAGTTTCGGTCAATTGAATGCCATATGAAATTAACGACCAGGCTGGTGAATACGTCAGTGTACCCGGACCCCTATTTATTTATTTATTTTATTTTATTGGGAATACAGCCCTACAAAGAGACATGTGGAGACAAACACAACAACAAGACACAGGGGATGTAGAGACGACGTGCCGATGTACAGGGAGCAACTCGACCGACCAGGGGCCTCGGCACGAGCATTGAAACCTGTTGTTGTAGAAGTTTATTTAACGTCGCACCATAAACAGGCGATTCCTTTGAAACATGTCGACGACAGAAGGAATGAGAGAGAGGGGGGGGTGACAGAAGTACGGAAAGAGGAAGGGTAGAAATAAATAAGCAATCAACCTCAGGGCTACACCAAAGCAAAAACGGAATGGGAACATACTATATACAAAATAGCTTCATACATATTGCAAAACACGTTTACTATTCTTCAGTCCGCTAAACCACAGAAACACACTAGCCGAAAAGCATTTAAACGGAGCCATGATGCGCTTTCAGCAGGGCACAGAACTGAAGGTGGCTGGGCTCGGAACGGAGATCAGGCGGGAGCTGGTTACACAGGACTGCGCCGATAACCTGCATGGTCGCTCGACCCGCGTAACCGGGCCAAAATGGTACTCGAACGAGGTGATGTGCTACTCCCCGAGTACGGTCACCAGTAACTCTCACGAAGAAGCTGGTGAAGAGGGAGCTAGCTCAGGAGAAGAGGCTCGGGAGAAGAGCTTAATGTTAAACATGTCCTCCAGGGTGGTGAGGCGGAGCTGTTTAAAGATCGAGCTCGTGCGCAGACCGAGGAAGCCGCGGATAGTGCACAACCTGGCATCGAAAAAAGGGGGTTGCATGGTCAAGTAGCAAAAATAATACTTTGGTGCGAGAAAGGGGTTCTAATCCCCTGTAAGGTGATTACGTCACTGTACCCGCTTATAAGGTGATTACGTCATTGTACCCGGATGCCTATAAGGTGATTATGTCTTTGTACCCGCACGCCTGTAAGGTAAGTACGTTATTGTACCCTTACGTCTATAAGGTAAATACGGCACCAGGGAGTCCCAAGCCATATGCCGTGTGCAACCCGCAGTCTAAACATCTAATGAACACATTTACTATCCCCCCCCCCTCCAACCATACAAGAACAAGAGTGGACCACGGGACTCTCGGTTTTGACCAATGGCACTCAACCACACAGGCTTTGTGTTTCAGTGGATGTGTGCTTGATTTACAGGCAAATCACCTACCGATGGCAGTCGGGTTGTACACTTCAGTTGTTCGGTGAGCTGAACACATGTTTACAGGCACGCACGCATAGAACACAGCGTATCAGAGTTAAACACAGAACTACCGGAGGCATCATAATATGATGCACTTACAAAATCATTTCAAACTGGGATTGCCATGATACGGGGTGTTAGAATCTCCCCACATTTTGCGACTTCTACTTGTTATGTACATGTATGTTTTTAGTGGCAGTGAGCTGTAACTCCAAAATCTGAGTAAAGTTCTGAAGTGCCAGCGGGTGCTACCTAGACCTACCCCACATGATATGACATACAATGTACTACATGCATCAATAAAGGGGGCGAATTTGGCTTAGAACCACACGTGAGTAATGTAAAGAGGAATACGTTTGGGAGCAAGGAGATGGGGACCATGAAGGATGTAATTTGTATATGGGCCACAACCAGCTAAAACATGTCTTAGAGTGAAATTTTTCAAATTTTGTTTTTACTTTGACGTTACGGAATGGCAAATAAATAAGGCGGCGACACATCTGACTGCAAATCTCCATGACCAGCTCACCAGATCAAGGTGTGGGTCGTCCTCACTCATTAGATACAGAGTCGAGCTAGTTGTATTCCCGGTGCCGAAGGACGCGCTCAACACCCCTGCATGGCAACTTCCCAAATAACCCTGAGGCGAAGTAGATACTGTGGTAATTATACTGGCAGAAGTTAAGAAGTTAAAAAGTAAGATAAAGAAGAAGTTGTCATCATGTTCCCAAACCTTGGCAAGTTGGTAGTGTAGTCCATGTTCCATCAGCTTGGCAAATCACTGTACTTGGCATTGAAATATTGCCATAACCAGACATACATGATGCAGTGATGCTGGTGCCAATAGTTCTCCTTGGTAAAGTCGTAACTGTTGTCGAGCTTAACTCTGGACAATGTGTTGCTGTGCACAGAACAAAAATATAACACAGAGAGTAGATCATTGCATACTGACAGACAACACTGAAGATGAACTCCTATGTTAACTGAGTGAGCTGTATGTTGATCCACATTCTTATGATCGTATAACAACTCAGATACCATATTGACGGCCCTCTGTGAAAGTAAAACACCTGAACTGGACAGCTTACATTCGAATGGGTATATGTATATAGCTATATAACCTACTGAGGATCTGCATGACTGAAGTAAGTTCACAGTAGTAAAGTGGTGTTTAGTCACAAAATGTGTATTATTTGAAGAGTGTGAGTGATACAACGTTTTCTTTCTGTTTACATAGCACAGGGTCACGAGTACGAATATACACAGCTTCCAACACCTGCAGCGTTGTATCACTCACACTCTTCAAATAATACACACGCACCATTACATTCATTCACACAGTATCACATTCATCTGCCACTACCTTTCTCACATACACTATATTCACACATTGCAAAGGTGCAAACTTCGCTTTTTGTACTTGTTAGCTGCTGTATTTCTACCTGAAACCATATTAGCTACATGTATATAAGTGTGTGTTTTAGTTATTACATTTTTATGTGACGGCGTTCCACTGATGACAGTCACAAGAAAACGTTATGGAACTTGACTTTCTTCATTTTTGCTGTTGTTATGAGTGCACAATTTATCTTATTTGTTGATTTTTGTGTATTGATTTTCGATAGAACAATCCACTGCGGAAGCTACTGGCTCTGTATTCAACACACAACACTTGAGTACCTCAGTATATACTGGGGATAGCTGACCACCTTAAACTCAATTTCTTTTCAAGAATCTAACATTTCATTTTACTAATAATTTACTCCAAGAACTTCAGCACATGAGATGTAGCGCATGATCGATGTTTCCTGGTTCGAGTCCTGGTGGTAATAGTCAACTTTGTTTTCCGACTTTCCCGTTTTCATTTCCCTGAAACCAATGGATAATGTACTCTTTGTATGATCGACGGCGTTTGTGAGGCAGATGCACAGGTAATGGCGCAAAATACACGTCTTCGTTTGTGAAAGACTTTAATTAACCTAAATACTGTGGGTCTCCAAATGACAGCGAGAATACAATAATAATATTATGTTATTATTCCTGAATTATGAGTGCGCATCGTTTGATGTTCCATCACACTGTCGGTTCTACTTTACATATATTGAAAAGCCTTCGCTCACAGAAGAGCTATTGCAGACAGACTTATGACGAGCTCAGACTCGTGAAGGAAATCGATAGTTGTAAACCACATTAAACCTAGAAAACAGCTTCAACACGATACTGAGATGCTAGACATCGGTCACACCCCGATTTCATTCTTCGTCGCTCAACCGCAACCAAATGTGTTGGAGGATATGAGAAAGTCGCCTGAAACGGCGCTGGACATGACGTCACAAATTGCTTGGCCTAAAGGATTAAGGTGAAAAGTATTTGTCCAAGGCACACACGTTCTAAGTATGAAATTTTTATCTCTTCCTGATCAATAAAATTGTGGTAAAGACACACCTAACAATATGGCAGTAAACACACGCCTGCGCACACACTCTCTAAGCTGCAAAGTTCTGGCACAGAGCTCTCCTTCTCACCACCACCACCTCCACGATCAGTTCGCGCCTGGCGCCTTGTCTAGATTGCGACGAACGTTTCGTCCCCACAGGACTCATACGTCGCAATCGAGCTATGTCGTTGCTGTGTAATCTTCTATGTGCAATAAGGTACTTGATGTACCAGCCTCCTATGTCGGACACCGCCAACCATGCATCGACTAGGCGCCAGGCGCGAACTGATGGCGGTGGTGGTGGTGGTGGTGGTGGTGGTGGTGGTGGTGGTGGTGGTGGTGGTGGTGAGAAGGAGAGCTCTGTGCCAGAACTTTGCAGCTTAGAGGGCGTGTGTGGGCAGGCGTGTGTTTACCGCCATACTGCCAGGTGTGTCTTTACCACCATATTAACAACCATAAGTACAGCTGCGGTGGTGTCTTCAATTTCATTCTTCTTCCTACTTTGAAAAACTTCTCAGGGAGATTGAAGTTCTTGGATCCCACTACAAGGGTGATTTCTGCTAACATCTAGGTATTTCTATTGCCGAATCCCCTTGATAATTTATAGGAGTTGCCGTCCTTTGTATAAACAAGGCAAAGCCCAGTGTCTGCAGGCTGTTCTTTTTATTTTTGTAGCTTGACCCAATTGATAAGAGAGGCGGTATTGATTTCGTAGGTGTATTACCAAACTAAATAGATACTTCTAAGTAGGTGCCCAACATTCTGCCCAAGTTGCTCGTAATCTTTCAGCACCAGAGAATATGTTACCTACTTCAGTAAATTGTATAAACTACAACCGTCATGAGGAAATCATGTGTTTTGAACGGCGTGAATGAGTTTGTCAACTGCATTTTTACACTGACAGTGATATCTCAAGTGTTCAGTGCCCTCATCACACTTGTTATGCATTCAAACATAGCAATTCTGAAAAATACAAACCTTGGATTGTGACAGAGACAGTGGTAGACATTGCCTGGGTGGCATTCACACATCTGTCAATCACACTTTGTGAACGTGGAGGACTTGAACCCATTCCCATACAATCAAAGTTTGTAGTATACGATGTTGTACAGATTACATTGAAGGTAATACCTGATGTATCACTTTCTGTAAACACAATCTGGGAATCATTCCGCTGGAAGGTGAATGTTGAGTTCGTCAAATTCGTAGATGTCACCGTCTGTATCATCTGTGTGTCCAGAGTTAATGTTGAGTTCCAAGATGAGTTGAGAGGAAAGTTTCCACTTGACACGCATGGTATGGTGTGAGTATCACCAGTGTAGGTCAATGTCAGTGGTGTAGGGGATGGTCCTGATTGAACCTGTTGAGCTGTACAAAAAGGAAAAATGGAAACAGTATAATGAAATGTATGAAAAGACTGTCCAGGCCAATACAGATTATAATGCACCCAAGAAGACAAAATACACAACTGATCGTGCAGTGACGGGAAAAGCCGCTTCCTGTACGATAAGGGAATGTTTGCAGAAGTAGCCTCAGCCAGTGGCGTATACAGGTGGAGAGAGCTTGCAAGCCCTCACGCCTGAAAAAAGACTCTCTAAGACAACATTTTTGGAGGGCAGAAACCTCGATCAATAATTTGTCCAAGATATTATTACAAGTAAGTTGGAACAGAATTTTCATTGGAACTCAGAGTTTCACGCTTGCCCTGTCATCAGGAAACACGTTTCTGGTATGAAGCGGGGAATACGGTCAAGGAATACAGTGGAACCACGCATATACATGCTCTCGTATCCGCACATACACACAAACACACACACGGACCCGTGCACGCGTAAAATAAACAATAACACACAAACCTATACACTCACTCCAACGCACGACAAGACACGTCCTCAATCACCCAGACACGCACCCAAGTCCACACTCTCACACACTTCCACACATACGCTCACACTCATCCTCTCTCTCTCTCTCTCTCTCTCTCTCTCTCTCACACACACACACGCATACACACACACATACACACACATAAACACACACACACACACGCACACACACCTGGTCCCAGTGAACACTCCCATTACGGTCATGTGTCCCTTTGCGGGGCCGACAACTTGGAAACGACGAGCGACGGGAGAAAGTCGGCAGTCTGCCGAAAAGTTAGGAACCATATTCAATCGGCACGACGAAAGAGCCATCTTTGGCCGCTATGGATTTGGAATCCATGAGTAGAGCGGCGGCACCGACCACAGGCTCCACAGTGGGCCTTCCAGCATGAGAGGACGAGCCGGTCATGCGGCGGCGGAGGAGTCGCCTGAGCAGCAATGGTAGACACCGCCGCCCGGTACGGAGCCTAATACGATGTCCCGGGGAGAGTCCGACAGTTGGGGCACTTGTTGACCGCGAAACCTCCAGCAATGCGGAACCGGCGCTCGCATGAAGAACATTGTCGGCTACCTCTCTGTTCCGATACAGGTTTGCGGCGCTCATCGAGGCATTTAGGACGAGGCAAACCACTCCTGGAGAAGAGACAACCAGTGCCTGACACACACACACACACACACACACACCTGTCCTGTCCTGTAGAGTCATTGCCGCAAAAGGGTCACGTGATCCCATCACTGGGAAACTTGAGAAGAGACAGAGAGAGGAAACGACGCTCGATGACGCTCTAGGTGCACGGGTAGTCGCATCCGCTTGCCGCATATGCACACGTGCTGGAAGGCTGAGCGCTCCTCTGCTGTTGGTCTATGCGCCACCCTTGAACAGCGATGCCTGCCCCGTCCCCGGACACCGCGAAAGCAGCGACCAAACCTGTCACAATGCGCGGCACAACATCCCTCTGCCGGTGCCGACGTTCCCATAGCTCCAGGTGGCACTGTGGCATCCACCGTCGAGGCGAACACATGCCGGACCAAGCCACCGCGGCTTCTCAGCCACCGCTTACACCGCCCGCACTGACTGGCGCCCCGCTGCTCAGACACAGGCCGCGCACGCACCTACAGACACTTATGCCGAGCCATGTCTCCTTTCCGTGCAAAATCCCGTATACTGTACATACCACTAGGGGCGGAGGCTCAGGCGCTGCGTCACTCCACGCGGGACTCACATGCAACATCATACCACGATGCCTCCACGCCACGGGCACGTAGATCCCGGGCAGCAAACACACACACACACACACGCACACTGTGACAAACTTTGACCTTGACCTTGATATACAGTTGCCATTAAATTGCTAAGCTGCCTTCATGAGGAGGAGAACAAAGGGGTAGCATCTCAGCGTCGCGGCAAAACATCCGCTCTCATGTCGTTGAATATCCTGCTGCCTGCGATATCTCTCGCTGCACTCACAGCAGAACTTGAACTTGAGACGCTCCCTCGCTGTTGGTCGCTTGCCACACTCGGAATGGTGCAGTTTAAATCCACCAGCAGATCGAAAGCACAGGTCACATGAAGGGCAATGCAATGAACAACAATGTTGGTACTGGAACAGTAGGTGAGGTGCAGGATAGCCAGAGTCCGCTGGCTGTTGGGATGGACCTGCGAGAGGGCACTTATGTACCTTCAGCCCACCAGCACTCTTGAACCATCTACCGCAAAGTTGATACGACTTTGCACCAGCCTGTTGGCTGACAGGAAGTTGACGGGCCGCACTGCACTTATGCCGCTTGTACCCAGGCCCACTAAGATGGCGGCAGTCCACCGTCAATCGCAAACACCGCATTGCACAGTTGGTTTAGATAGTGGTGATGGAGGCACAACATCAACGCCACTCGATCTGGGCTATTGTACACAATGGTGAATTCAAGGAGCGTAGGTCGTGATGACCACGGTCCTTGAGCCAAAAGCAATATGTGCATTATGTCCAAGCCAATCCATGCGCTGCTTGCGGATGCAGGTGGATAACAACTCCGGCTTTCCCCATCTTCTCAACTCTTCATTGATTACTGAATCTGACTGTTGATTTCACTGAGACACACCCAAGATGATACGCAAGCAAGAGGTAAACCATCAATTCGGAATTCGTCACGCTGCAGGACTTGCCAGCGCTCGGTACCGTATAGCAATACCGACACCACACATGCGCTGTAAATCAGTCTCTTCGTGCACAATGACAGGTTTCGGTCATCAAAGATGCAGCAAAGAGCACCACACGGTCGTGCTGCACTGGCAATCCGGCGATCAAGCTCAGCTGAGACGCTGGCATTGAGCGACGAGACGCATTCCACATATTGACCAGCAATAGACATCAGGAGATGGTCCGCATCAACACTGCCAGTGCCACATATCAGTAACTAAGTTTTCGAATAGTTGACATTAAGGCCAATGGATTGACAGACATGAGCCTGGATCAGCAAAAACCATCACATGTGCAAAAATTTCAAAAAATATTTTTGTGCTCCACATTGATCCACAACCACTGATAACCAGTCTCAAGAAGTTTTAGATCAATCACAGCACCGTCAGTGGGCAAAAAAATGCGGTACATCACATCTCTGTACAAATGTTGAAAGTGGCATTTCTGTGTAAGATGCACTTGTGAGCATTGGTATGTGTCTGATCCTGTTAGGCATTGCCATCACTCAGCTGGCTAACAAGGAGGAATTTGATAGTCCTTGTGGGTGTACTCAGACACTGGCTTGTCCAAGTAAATCATTGGATTCATTGACTATTGCCCAGCTAACGGCATATGGCCAAGTTGGTTCCAGGGGCTGATATTGCATCTACACTGGGCTCTGTACTGATGCTCTCCAAGCCCTTCACTTCCATGAAAACATATCTGCACACACGGAGTGCGATCATAGTAGCTGTGACTACTTAGCACAACGGCTCATGAGCATGAGGTTCATACTAGTTGCAGATACATTCAACGGTTACCTGACCCAACAGGAACTTGTGTTTGAATTTTTTTGGGAGCTGCTGCATGGACCAAATAAATGTTTCAAGTTGCTCAGTGTCCAAGCCAACGAAGCAGATCTTATCTGGCGCTAGCACTCGTTGCTCTTCCAGTCGTGAATCGAGACGCCTTTGCTCTGCATCGTCCCAGTCGATATCCAACAAACTTACTAGTGAAGGAGTCGTTCATCGCTCAACAATATCCACTCGAGTCGTCGTCATTCTCATCAGCGCTGCTTCTTCTACACGAAGTCTGCAGCCTCGCCGAGTCGCTTTGCGGCAGGAGAAAGTCATCCTCTGGAGCTCCGCGGCTTTCCTGACTCCCTTGATGAGCAATTGCCATCCCAGTCATCACCAAAAAACGTTGTGTAGTGATTGGCGTCAACGACGATCGATGCACGTGCGATGCTCGCGTGCGATCGTACCTATTCGCCAGCCAAGCTCAGGCACGTGGGGTTTCCCAGCCGTGTCTTCTCACTTGCCTGGGGCTTGCCTAGCTAGCTAGTCACTGACAAACCAACGAACACGGGCTTGTCAGGCGGAAAGAAAAACTAGTGACAAGAAAGACTAGTGACAAGAAAGACAGAAAGGTGATGGGTAGTTGTTAGGTCCGCGACTTTTCTTTCGCTCGACTTCAACGTCACTTTTTTGATCAACTTGATATCAAACACAAGTGATGGTTTTCGCTGATCCGGGCTCACATGGTGAAACCTCTCCAGAGCAATCAGCTCCAACTGACGACTAGGTGGTACCAAGACGGCATCATCCGCAAACTCGAAATCGGTGATGGCTACTACCCGATGGCAAGTGCGCGGTCCATTGAATGGATTTCCGTTGATGTTATGGCGTAGTGCAAGACCACCGCCGAGTGTCTTGTCCACTTCCTCAAAACACTTTGCCAACACAAGATTGAAAAGCAGTTGGAAAAGTACCGGTACAATAGAACATCCCTATCGCAACCAATTGTTGACAGTGATGGGGTCTGTCGGGTCGTTGCCAACGTGGACTCTCGCTTCCATACCAGTACGAAACGATTGCAGCAGCTGGATTAGGGTGCAACCCCTAGGACTTCCGAACTACGCAACAATGCAGGCTTTGGAACGGAATCTTAAGCTTCAAGCAATTCAACAAAGATCATAATGCCTGGCATGCGGTGTTCGTACAGCTTCTCTACCACCGGTGACACAGCAAGTATCTGGTCTGATCATGAATAAACACGCTAAAAGCCGCACTGAGTTTCCGGTAGCACATCCTCTGCAATTTTCTGGAGGCGCTACTGGAGAAGTCTGCCAATGACCTTGCTAACAATGTCCAGAAAACAATGCCATGCCATTGTCACACAGTGAGAGATCACCCTTCTTGGGGATGGGGACCAACTCTGCATCTCTCCATGCCTGCGGGACACTGCCTTCATGCCACACCTTGCACACTAATCCTACCAGATGCTCATGCAGGGTAATACCACCATA